ATTATTTCAAGAGGAAACGGAAAAATAAGCAGCTTACAATTGTGGTTTCTCCAGCAAATATCTCCTTTGTACTGGGAAACAGACAGTCTTTTATATATACATTTTCATTTTGAACACATTGCTTTGATACAGGATCTGTCATTTAAAAATGTGTACAAAGCTCTATTGTGATCTGATTTTAATCAGGGCTCATCAATCCGATTTTTAGAGTCATTGGATACATTTTGTAGTTCAGAAATATATTCGCCCAAGCATCCTTGACCTAGGTAAGCAGTCAGTTTTCTAGGCCCACAGTGCTCTTTACCAGAGGGAATCACTTTTTCTTTCTGGCTTCCTTTTCCTTCTTCACGGTTCCATTCCAGTCAGTACTGTGCAGAACCACACATGTGGAATGAAGCAAGAAGAGTTGGCTCCAGGTTTTTGGGGCAAGCAAGGAGAGTTTACTAGAAAGTCTGTTTTGGGGAGAAATCCCGGTCAAGCGAGTGTCCCCAGTGGGGCACTGGGCTTTCGATTTGTGCAATTTTAGTGCCTGTGTTAAAATTAAGGTAAATACTAAATGCCAGGAAATGATCCTTACCTCATGGAACAGCTGCCTAGATGATCCTCTGCCAGCGATGTGTGGTTATTTTGCAGAGAAATGTTCTACTTGTACTTCTGGGGAAGTGGGAGGAGATGGACGGATGGATGTGAGATAGAAATCCAGAGATGAACAGATGTGTGCCCGTTGCGTTCCCTTGACAATCTCGTGACTCTCTCAGCCCTGTCCAGTGGAATTTTCTGCGATGATTGAGATGTTCAAGCCTTATGTGGCTGTTGAGCACTTGAAATGTGGCTAGTGTGACTGAGGGACTAAATACTTAACTCTATTTAATTTTAGTTAGTTTTAGTGTAAATAGCCACATGTGGATAATGGCTACTTTATAGGACAGCGCAGCAATAGGTCACCTGGTGTGTGATTCTTATCCAATTCATCATGACCAGAGAACTCTGGAGTTTTGTTTGGTTCTGAGAATAGTCAGAAACTCACATCTGCCTGGGGTTACACCTGAGGATAACTCTGGGCCTTTTAATATGGACATTGGACTCCCTAAAACCTTGTCAAAAGTAGACCTAGTATCATTATTAATTATTGTTTGATTAATCAATTGTCGATTGATTAATAATTGTTTATCGAGCACTTACAATAGGACAGACACTGTGTTAAAAAGTGGGCAAGTAGAGAATAAAACCTGCAGGCATTCTCACCCTAATAGTTCTGCAGGGAAGATGAACACTGAACAAGCAAATGCGGGTGTGAGCTGAGCATGTTTAGGAAAGAGGTCTCGCCTTGAATCAGTAGGAAGGAGTCTTTGTGGGCTGATGTCACATGGAGGTAGTCATTTTGTCATCCTGTTCAACAGGGTCACTTACGGTCATGTGGTCCCTGAATTCTGGTTCAACTTTCTCAATCCTTTTTTTGCCACCTTCCTTCTCTTTAGAATTTCCTTGGGCTGATCTGGTGTCTTTAACACAGAGGCTGAACTGATAAAAATGGTGAACACTTGTTTCATTCCAAAAAAGACTTTGGAAAGAGTTGGGGAATGTGGGTATGGTTGAGGCAGGGTCGGGACAGGCTCAGATGGTGGAGCAGCTCATTGCCACAGCCCCCAGGCGCCCCAGGGTGTCCGAGGCAGCTGTGGACTGGGCTCCACAAGGAACAGGAGCTGTTACAGTCCCCACCAAGACTAGAATGAGGGCCAAGGCTGCAGTCCAAGTCAGCCCCCCAGCTCTCCCAGCTCCGCCTGAGTCAGCCCCCCAGCTCTCCCAGCTCCGCCTGACTGCCCCTTTGGCTGTTGTTCCCTGGGTTTGGTGGCCCCCAGCTGGGTGCAGTGAGTTAATTGATTCAGTAGGTATTTATTGAGGACCTCTGTATGTTCACAGCCCAGGGGCCCCCAGTAACACCTGGGCTGATTTGGTTCCATTCACTTCCCTGCCTGATGGTGCAGCCCTGGCTGCTTCCAAGGTGGCAGCTCCCAGGGCGTTGGGTTCCCTGGGTCTGGGGCTATAATTCTCAACTCTGGCCAAGCTTGACAGTTACTTGGGGAGTTTTTGAAAAGTACAGATGCGTAGGTATCCCGTCCCTAAACCAATTAAAGTTAGAATTTTGGGGGAGGTGGGGTAAAGGCCTAGACATTTTTGTAAAGCTCCCTGGCCAGGATGTTTTCCTGTGTACTGGCTAGTGTGGGGTGGGGGGGTAAAGGCCTAGGCATTTTTGTAAAGCTCCTGGCCAGGATGTTTTCCTGTGTACTGGCTAGTGGGGGCAGGGGTCTGGAAACCTTTTTGGGTTCCTCCCCATCCTCTGGGAACCCTCCCAGCTGGCTACTATGGAAGCAGAAAGCTCATTTCTGAGGGGGAAATCCCAGTAGGACTCTGGGGCTGGACAACCCCTAGCTCCTCCCCTTACATCCCCCAGATTGAAGCCTAAGGACCCATGGCTGCTTCTGGGATCTGTGTCATCATGCACAGAGAAGAGGGAATGAGAATGTTCCCACGATTAGAGGTGGCCACCTGATCATTTCCAGCTGTCACCAGGAAGGCCTCTTCCACACACTGGACCTGAAAACTTAGAGATGCTGTCAACCTGAACTCCATTGCCTGAAACCAGAAACCCTAACAGCAAGACGCTTAGGGGAAGGGCGAGAGCGGGGAATGTGTGTGAGGGTGGAGAGGAAGGCGAGAACTCCAGGGAGCTTTCCTAAGTTATGAGCTGGCTCCGAAATATAACTGGCTTTAAAGAAAAGAATGAAGTGTGTTGGAAAAGCAAGAACTTTCTTACAACCAGATCAGCAGTGAGGGGTGAAGCCCCCCCGGGTAGGGCGAAATGGCCTCTTCCCAGGTCATCCGAGCCTGGTTTTGCTCTCTCAGTCCCGGCTCAGCCATGTCTGAGGGTTTAATATGGGCTGTCATCTGCTGGCACATGAACAAAACCCAAGAGCAAACACATTTTTACATTCGATGTTAAATGCTCAGAGGAACCAAGTTTTTCTGAGATTACACATTTTTCCAGCTTTATGCTGTACTTGAGCATGCAAAACAATGAAGTGGAGTTTTTCTTTCTCTTTTACAGTTTCTAGGACTACACAAAGGATTCTTTTGGTAGATGGCTGGTAAGGGGCCGAGGGCTTGTGTGTACCTGGATTGAATTAGATGCTCAGGTGAATGTTTGCTGAATGGGGACGGTGGCTACTTTCTTACTCAGATGTCCGTCTAGAACATATCTGGATGGGTGAGGCTATTTCAAATTTAGGGCAAGCGCCCGAGAGACTCGCTGCTTCTGCATGCTGGAAGGCTGTGTGAGGTAAGGGGGAGACCACTTGGGTTTAAATCCAAGCCCTGCCCTTCCTGGCCTTTGGAACTTGGACAAGTCACTTAGCAGCCATGAAACTCTTATTTTCTCATTTGTGAAAGGAGGAAGATCTGCATGGCGGGGCCTGGTGGGGGAAGTGGTAGGAATGAGAGAGAATGAGGCGCCTGGGATAGAGGTCTTACCCTCCTCCTTATCCCTCACTTCTTGAGTAGCTTTTCTTTTCTGTTAATTGGGCTTTCTCTTCATTTCTTCTTGAAAAAGACTCCTACCGGACCTTCTCAAAATTGATATATGCCTAGGCCCCACCGCAGACTAAATCAGAACCTGTGAGGGTGAGACCCAGGCATTGGCAGTTTTTCACAGTTCCCTGGTGATTCTGATTCACGGCCAAGGTGAGGACCACTGGCTTAAAGGCAAAATGAAGCAGGGACAGCGAAAGGTGTTGGGACCCTAACACTTGGGGCAGCGCTGTCAGCGGGGATCCCTTGGAGTTCTGAAGGGACACCTGTCCTGTCCTGGTAGCAGAGTAGATTCTTACATTTGAGGTTTTAGATGACATAGTTTTGACCCTCGTGGAAGATGCCAAAGGTTCATTACATGTAGTAATCTGTAATTTTCTCAGGAACCTAAATTTGAAATCCACCTGCCACAAGGCTGGTGCCGGAGGGGAAGTTGTTTGGCCGGTGCACGGGCTGCAGGCCACCTGGCAGCTGGTCCGCCTGAACCCCGCCACACCCCAGCAGCATACAGCAACCCTGGGGAGGTGATATAAAGCCTCTTTCTTTCTGGAAACTGGCCTGCCAAAAGACAACCAGCTGCTAGTGCTGGCGTTCAAAATGAAAAGGGATGAGGTTTAGGAGACTCATAGTTCTGAGCCAGAAATAGAAGTTGGGTTAAATTAAGGAACCTGCTTGAATCTGAGCTGTGAGGCAGGGCACCAGGGTGCTGCACATCTGGAGCCATCCCTCTGAGTGCCCAGGAGCTGCTGGATAGTCACTGTCTATTCTAGGCCCAAGCCCAGTCGTAGGTCTGGAGGACTTTATAGCTTGTCAGAAAGGTCTCTATGTGATGTGTAAATGCATAAGGGAATGTGTGCTTTTAAAGGGAAATTTTGAATGGTCCAATTCTGCTAATTAGCTGTATGAATAGGGCATCTTTAAAGAGATCTGAACACAAATAGCTGTCTTCGAAGGCTCCCAGCCTGCTAC